CAAAGGGGGGGGGGGGGGGCGCTGGCCAGGCCCTTCAGAGTTCTTATGTGCAACGTGACTAAGTATTGCTACAAGAAGGACCGGGGTGGGGGGGTGGCAGGGGAGCGCAAATGCAAGCATAGGCTCCCAGACACCGGAAACCGACAGTACATCACTGGTCACACCTTAATACAAGTAATGATTGTATTAATACAATTAATGACTCCACTCTGGTTGGCAGTTCAGCTTACAGATAGAGCAAGCCACAGCAAAGTGGACTGGATCAAGTTGTGTGATGACCCGTGTCAGAGAAGGAAAGACTCTGCTGCTTGTATTCAGAACATTGCTAGCACACGGGTGTGCCCTACCTGTGGGTGGGACAGTCACTCGTGTATTGGACTCAGCAGCCAAAGAACTCATTGGCACATACACCATGCTCTGTAAAGAATGATGGTGAACCTTAATACAATTAATGATGTGATAAGGTAAGAAATAAGCCACAAAGTTACTACACAAAAACTACATAATAACTTTGTAGCTGGTTCCTATCACCCCATTAAACTGAATGTGTGGCCAAGGCTGGGGCTTCCAGCTGCAGGGTACACGCCATGACTGGGACCCCAGAGCAGATGACAGAGAAGTGCATGCTGCACCCCTGTGATTGGGAGCCCAGATCAACTGGAGGCTCCCAGCTGCAGGAACACATGATTCATGCTGCAGCTGGGAGCCCCATCAGCTAGGGGGCTCCCAGCTGCAACAGCACACCCCTAAACTGGGAGCCCCATCAGCTAGAGGCCTCCCAGCTGCAACAGCACACCCCTAAACTGGGAGCCCCATCAACTAGAGGCCTCCCAGCTGCAACAGCACACCCCTAAACTGGGAGCCCCATCAGCTGATGGGGTCCCTACCCCAGAAGCTTGCTACTTGCCAGTGGAAGGGGGTAGGGATTGTAATCCCAGTCTCCCCCTGCACCAGCAATAATAATGTTGGATCCCCCAATCATGCCTCCTGCCATGCACATGTCCATTAGATTCCCTCACACCTTCAATTGCATGTCTGCCAGGGGCCCCTTTTCCAGATTCATAAAATAAAATCTAGCCTACTTGAACATCTTGACAGTGCATTCAATGGTTCACTGAATGCTATATCCACATGAGTTAATGTTTTTAGGTAAACTTGAAATAGGAGCTACATTAGCAGGTAACAGACAGCAAAATTGCAGAAAAAGGATGGTTTGATTAGCTGACCATCAAGACTATTAAAAAGGAGAGAGGGTTGTTAATACCTGTGGAATGGAGAGTTTAGAAGGAATCAGATAGATTATAATGAGCCATGAAGTGATAGACTCCACAATGGCTTCCTGAATAGAAATGCTGCTGCCACTGCCAAGCAGTTACATTTAAACTTTCAGTAGAGCAGGAATTAAAGGGGAAGGGTGCAACTGCACTGCTGCACTCTCCCCTCCCCCCCTGGATCCATCTCTGGACACTGTGTGTGCAAAGTCAAGAGAGGCATGGAAGGATATGACTCTAGGAGTTGTAGAAACTCAGAAGAAGCGTGTGAAGAACTGCTCTAGGAAAAGACTTTGAGAGAAGGTAGGAGGCTGTGAAGATCAAGTGTTGAAAACAGTGTGGATAGAAGCAGAATGTCACTAAAACCTTTCAGATCCTGCCCAATTTTGGATCCATGCAAATTAAACCAGCTCAGTAAAGGTCTCCACCTGCTCCTGTTGCACCAAAGACACTCCAGAACCAGATCCTTAGTACTGCAGGCACCCGGCTCATTCTGGATCCAGCCAGCTTAGGTCTGAAGGTGCCATGGTCCCATGCTAAAATGGATGGCAAATGTAATCATAACTATAGTAGCAAATTATTTAACTTTGGTGCATGAGTACCCTAAACCCTGATTCAACAGACTCAGTATTATCAAAGCCAACTATGAAAACTCCCTAGAAAATAAACCAAAAAAAGTTACAATACCAGAGAAAAAAAAAGGCCAATCTCCTAAAACTGGCTTCGAAGCATGAGATTTAACCCCCCAAAATAAAGGGTTTGGTTCTGCTGGAGTCTTATTTTTGACCTTTTTAAACTTTACATTTTCAAAAATTTCTCCTTAGCCATGACAGCTTGAACTATTCTCCTTAAAAAAGATGTTCACTTAAATGACATGATTCCAGGACCTAGGGCCCTAAGATGATACACAAAATACTGAGAGATCTGCAATAAAGCCAGGACAGCTGGACTAACATGAATCCTGTTGCAATCATCCAATGTTTAGCCATTACTCTCTAAGAGTAGGAACATGTACAGCACAAAAAAAATCCTGACCTCTACTGCAGTGATCCTTTTATGTCAGAAAGATCTGTGAGCAATATGCTGTCTATCAGTAAACACAACATAACCCAGCTCTGGTGTCTCGATCTAATCCCATCTCATAATACTGAAATTTGGCAGTTGAACCAGCTTTAATTGATTACCTTGACTGAAATTTTTAAAGCAAAGGGATTTATACCCTCATTTAGGTTTTTTAACTGCTCATATGGCAGAACATACATTTTTAATAGAGACTCTGAATGATCGTTCTTGGACTATTTTCACATAGTAGAATTCAGACAAATGGCCAACAATTATTGGATCTACCAATGTCCTAGTGCTCTTGCATTGGATTATTGCAGCCACATGGGACATGTTGACTGTTGAGAGAACAAGTTGGGCTATAAGGGTTCAATAAAAGGGGATCCAGCAGGCCCTGGCCAACGCTTCTCAAGCAGGATGCTATGGCAGCCTGGGGGTCTTGAGATCCTGCAAGGTTGCTGTGGGGTGCTGCGCACCATTGGCGCTGTTAAGTGTGCAGACGTGAGTCACAAGATGTGGGAATCCAGAGCAGTCGCCTAACGCGGGGTAGGGTGAGCAGGGCACCAGCTCTGGGCACCAGACCTGCCCTCTTGAGAGTCTGGCACTGCACTGCGCCTGAGACACGCTTTTTGGCGCAGCGCTGCCCTGCCTGTCTGGAGGCACAGGGCGCCCGGAGCAAGCAGGTGCAACCCCGTGCCTAAGATAAAGGTATGGGAGGAGTGAACGGGGCACCAGGGGCAGTGCCAGGGAGTCCAGCCATGGGGATGCTGCCGCCTGAGCAGAGCGGGCTGACGCTGCTACAGCAGCAGCCGCCGCCGCAGCGGCCGCAGGCGAAGAAGGCGGCAGGGGCTGGCTCGGCCCGCGGGCAGCTTCTTCCCGCCAAGCAGCAGCAGCAGCAGCAGCAGCAGCAGCAGCACCCCGGGGCCGGCTGCTCCGAGGGCACCTCCCGGGGGCTGCAGGTCAGCGGCTGGCGCGGGGAGCGGGGAGGCGCGAGCGGCGCGGAGCCGAGG